GAACCTTCCTCTAGTCCATGGTGTTCACCCGTGGTGCTGGTAAAGAAGAAGGATGGCAGCATGCGGTTTTGTGTTGACTACCGCCGTCTGAACGACGTTACGAAGAAGGACAGCTATCCCTTGCCAAGAATTGATGACACGCTGGACATGCTTACAGGAGTAAAGTGGTTTAGCACACTGGATCTAAAAAAGTGGCTACTGGAAAGTTGAAATTGACCCTAAGGACAAGGAGAAAACTGCGTTCTCGACGGGAAAGGGTCTGTGGCAATTCAAAGTAATGCCGTGTGGGTTGTGCAATGCTCCAGCAAAGTTTGAAAGGCTGATGGAACTTGTACTTACCGGGCTAATTGGCGATGCCTGTCTGGTCTACTTGGATGACATCATCATCGTAGGCCGTACGTTTGAGGAACACCTTCAAAACCTGGAACGCGTGCTCATGAAGATTCAGAGTGCCAACCTCAAGTTGAGTCCGAAGAATTGTTCACTATTCAAACGGCAAGTCAACTTTTTGGGGTATGTAGTATCGGAAGAAGGTATCCGCACGGATCCAGAGAAAATCGCCACTATCAAGGATTGGCCGGTTCCAAAAGACAAGACGCAGGTTAGAGCATTTTTGGGTTTATGCTCCTATTACCGGCGATTTGTGAAGAACTTTGCAGATATAATAAGGGTAGCAAAAGCGTTTTCAAATTGCTCGCAAGTCGGATCATTATTGCGGCACCCAAGACTGCGAATTGCGCAGAAAAAAATTTCCAAGGGATCTTGGTTTAGGTGCCGCATCCAAACATACGTAATATTATGTTCCTCCTTAAGTTTTCTTATCAATAATTGAATGGCTTCCAGTGTCCACACCTAATTATTGAGAGTAGGGACAGATGCATCTACTTTTCCAGCAGAATTTATGAATTTCATTGTTTTGAAAACTTTGACGCCTTCTATCCACTTTTATGGTGCTCAGACTTTGGGGTGACTGGACCTAATAACGGCTTCGCGTAGTAGCTTTTTTTTGAACTCACATTGACAGAATCAAATATACCATCTACAAAATGAAATAACGATGCCGTGTCAGCGCATTCAGGTGGAAGAACGCCAAAACCTGAAAAGAAAAGAGATTTTTAATAAAATTTGTATTAACACATTTGTGATATTTCAATCTTTCCTAATCTGGCTGGCAAACTATGTTAGAGATAGCAGAATCTACGAAAAATTACGAGAAAAACTGTTTTTAATTTTCAAATATCTTTGGAAATGAGTAAGTTAAAGAGGGCCACAGTGTGCTCATCCACTTTTAGGTTTTATAAGAAATGAAGATCCCTTATGACACAGGACCGTTTTCCGTTTTGCTTGCTCTGATACTCTTTATACATTTCAAAGTGAATAAGTTATACTTAGTGTTTTGGCCAAAAAACGGGCATTTGAAATTGCATCCGATACGCGCGCTTAGCGCGTTCACCCGACGGTATCGAGGTGAGGTAAACGCCGCCGGGGGGGGGGTGCGGCTGTAGGCCGCTTCCCGAAGCCTTGTGCTGTGTCACGCGGCCCTATCGGGCGGCTGAGAGGAGTGGTGTGTCTGCAACGCCGGGGTTCCGACTAAACGTGATGCGATAAAATTGTGGCGCGGCCGTCAACCGCGAGCCTCCTGCGGGTTACCTTAATTTGTTTTTCGTGATAACGAGGCCATATTATATAATTATTGTCGTAACAGTATGAATATTGTTTTCGAGCGTTAGACGATTGGGCGCGGCCGGTGTTGACTTGATGGCCTAAAGTTTGTGTTAATTGTGCGCGCCATTTTGAATTACTATTGAACATTTGGGTCTAATTAGACCGCCTCGAATTATAATTGTCTGTTTTTAACGTGTTACGTGACAAGAGAGCTACTTGAAGTTTGGAGTGATTAAAGGAACTTTTATGCCGTTAATTGCATCGACGAGTTATTAGGGCGTCGGTTGATAGCGTGATAAGACTTTACTTTGTCGGGAAAACGCTGAGCGTTGGGCCTCTAGAAGAGACCGCGTTCTTCTCGTGGTTATAGTTTTGTGCTAAGTGAACCTGGGACTTTGAACTTTTACCAACCGTCCTTAAGTTGTGCAGCGTGTCACTTTTTTTAATGTCGATTAACGTTGATTTGGTTAAATTTGAAGTTAACTAAATGTACAATAAAGTTGATAAACTAATATAGTGAAAATAGAAGTAGAAGTTTTCAATTGGTGAACACCCTGAATGGATCCCACATTTGGAGAGAGGCAGCGCCTTGGGATCTGTAGTCCAGGATCAGTGGGGATGTCAGGTTACACATTGTACACATTACTGCACGCTACTTACATGCACATCACTTATCACCTGACAGGTACCCCGTGGTCAACCCTACCTCAGCCAATCGGTAAGTGGTGCTTGCTTCTTTGTTAGCCGTTATAATTTAATTATCCAAAGGTCATTGGACCCTCCTCTCATGTTGTGGTATTCAACACCTTTTGATGTAAATTTTAAAATATAATTGTTCAAATGTTTAAAAAATATTTATAATTAAAATGTTTACAATGTTAGGAGTACGCACACGAGACTTTGTTGGAGTCCATATATGTACTGGCTAAAAATACAAAGTTTAACGTTAAATGCCAACGCGTACAAAACGTGTGTAAACCGAACATCTTCCCGTACAACAAAGGAGATAAACTAAAAATACAAAAAAAATGTAAAATCTTTTGAGAAAAGATACGTATAAAATATTGCATCGGGTTTAAGAATAAGGTTTCGCAATATAGGCGAAGTTGCTCGGTCTTGATGGTTGAACGTGTTCGGAAGCGCGGGTGTGTACGCACGCTCGGCGCTGGCGGCAACGGGTTGCGTTCTCGGGTCGGGCACTGCAGCGGCGCGCTGTGCTCTCGGGGCGGCCAACGCAGCTTCCGTAGTTATGTTATCGAGGCTCATAGTTGAAGTGATAGCCGTGTTTCTTCTTTGCCGTAGTCGTTTACAGGCAAGGCATATAGCTGCTATCGCAATCACTCCCACCAAGATGTAAATCGCGGCGTAATGATGTATGTCATGGAATGTTATGTTTTCAGCGATCATATCTTGGGACTTTAGATTTTTGATGTGTTCGTTCAAGGTGGTTAGGTTGGCTTGGAAACTGTCGGCGCCTTTTTCCAACTCCTCGGTTTTCGGGATAGAGAGCTTGATAATTTGGTTAATAGCAGCGATTTCAGGCGCATAAATTTCGGGTCCGGTTTTCAATTCACTCGTAAATATTTTGTGAGTATAGATCGATAATTCTTCACTTTTGATTGTGCAACCGGGTTCCAGTGCGATGACACCGGCGTCACTCAGCTGTTCCACGGTAACTTGATCACCGCAAAAAACTCTTATATTGCATTTGTCGCATATTGTAAATAAGTATTTGTTCGCCTTATTTAATTGAATAAACATGTAACTGCACTCGGCGATGTCTATTTGGCACTGATTTGTGTAATTATTCTTCAAGCACAGATCTTCGTCTGAATTTCTTTGGTATATGGGGTGTTTGAGGTGGCATAAATGTGCCGAAAATTCGTACAAAATACACTCCTCAAAATACACTACTCATAAATCGATATATGTCATTGGAATGTAAATATCCTTTTCTAAATTAATTGCAATGTAATCAGCAATCGGTTGAATGTTCACAAAATTGTTTGTCCGTTTATGAGGAATCGGTATGACTCGGTACAGGTAGTAATTATCTCGGGTGACTAAGGGTAATCTTATTTCAAAAATCAAGTACTTATCAGTCAACCTTGTTTTCACTTGAAGAAATTGATACATTTTTTGAAAATCTGATTGTATGTTTGATATAGGTAAGGTCAAGTCTTTAGGTATTTGTCCAGATATTGTGTTCAGTTCATTTCTCAACTGAGTAGGGCTTATGAGATGAACATCGAACCTTCCATGGTATATATATCAGTGATGGCGTCTATCATCATGTTTTGTATGCCTTTCAAATTCAACAGTAAATTGTTCGCTATGACAGACAGAGCCAAAAATTGGTTAGTGTTGTGAAGGTTTTCTAATTCTGTTCTTACTTTGTTTATGTTGCTGTCTGAGGCACTAATCTGTTTGTTAATAATCTTGTGTTGTTTTCTCATAACGTCTTTCATTCTTTTCATCATGTTGTATTCCGCTTCGATAATAGACGTTTGGTTCATGAACAGGGAAGCCAAATGAGGTTCGTTCTATCTGACAAGTGTGATATCTCGCTCACACTTTTCTGCGAAATGGTCGTCGAGTACTCCGAAGAGACTGTTCGCGAGATACCCGACACCATTGATAAGCCCTCGCTTCTGTCTATCGTGCTCGGTTTGTTTACCTAGCAACCTGCGGTTGTAGTACTCGAGTTCACTGGTACTATGAGGTAACTGCAATAGGACCGCATCACAGTGACTGTCGCCCTACATTGTTTCACATATGTTTTCCATGTGTTTTTGATATCTGTCAAATGCTTCGGAGCCTTCCCAAAATGGTTGCATGTTGTAGTAAATTATGAGCTTCCGGTCGTCTCGAATAAGTTAGATGTTGGAAATGGCGTCGAAATACAAAGATTGATTAAGTTGCTGAATAGAATATGCACCATGTGTAGGTACGGTTATACTCAAAAAAATAGCAATGCAGCACAAATTGATATCAGACTTGATTTAGATGTTATCTTGTTTTTTCTGATTTCGGGTTCCTGGTTTCCTCGCAATGGCAGTATGGATAATTTGGTAACTGGCCGTTTTAAAATTCCGTGTTTTGTTTTCAAGGAGACAACTCGAACGAAGCCATCTTTTCCTGGGTGTAAATAAAGTGTAAGACTAGTGTAAGACTTGACCTGTCAACCATTTTCCAGCAGCTAAGATATCGTCTTGAATTGTCACTAATTGACCGACTTGAACGTTAGGTGTCGACTGCTTCCATTTGTTTCGAACGGTAAGTTGCGTAAGGTATTCCGATTGGCATATATCAGCCATTAGTTTTTCTGTTAAGTTTCATCTTGTTCGCGTGTCATGTTCTGTTTCCCGGATTGTTACATCAGCTGTTCTAGTTAAGAAATGCGAAGGTGTCACGAAGTCGAGGTCCTCCACATCCTCAGTCAATGCACACAGCGGCCTAGTATTAAGACACGCTTCTAGCTGAGTAAGTATCGTTGAGTACTCTTCGAATGTTAATTTTTGTTCTCCGATAACACGTTTGATGTGATATTTAAGGCTCTTGACCGCAGCCTCCCAGAGTCCTCCCGCTGACGGCCAAGACGGAGCGTTGAAGTGGAATTCGATTTCCATTTTGGTAAGTTTAGTTAATAATTCTGGATCAGAAATATTTTCTTTAATCAGCTTTATGTTTTGTCCCAGAACACGGCTAGCACCGACGAAGTTATTCCCGTTGTCGCAATATATGTGACACGGCGCGCCTCGACGAGCTGCCATACGACGCAGTGTGGCAAAAAATGCTGACAACGTGAGGTCAGACACGAGTTCGAGGTGCACGACCTTTGTAGCCATGCACACGAATACAGCCACATAGCCCTTGCTTGTTTTTATGCCTCGACCCTTGCTTGCCTTGACGTCCACGTAACCCGTGTAGTCAACTCCAGTATGATAAAAAGAACGGGAGGGGTTTGTCCTGACTTCAGGCATATCACCCATGATTTGTGGTTGTATGCTAGGTGCGTGACGGCAGGTTACAAGGTTTTTTAACCTTTTAATTGTTCGATTTCCGACAACAATCCAGTACTTTTGTCGAATGAACGCTGACGTCAATCGCGCGCCGCCGTGAAATGTAATCTTATGCGCGCTCTCAATCAGTAATCTAATTGTGTAAAACGGCTTTTGTTAGGCAAAAATATTGGATGTTTCATGTTATATGTCATATTTGCGAATTCTAATCTGCCATTTACTCTTAAGACGCCATTTCTGTCTATGAATGGATTCAACTTTGATAATGTGCTCTTTTTCGGTACTTGTTTATTTTGCGTAATGCTTTCATATCGTCTTTGAATTCAGCTGATTGCACATGTTTTGGTGGAAGAATGAAGTGGAGGCAGCTCCAACTAGGTAGCTGCCGCCATAGCTCCCACCACAGCCGCCTCCACTGATCCTTTTGAGCCGTCAACAGTGTACTTGTCAAACTGTTCTATTGCCGACGGCCTCAGTGAAGGTGTAAAACCCGAGTGGCGATTGTGTAACGGTTCGCGCTCTATTGAATTCGGGTTCAAACGCGGTGTGGCCTCCACTTGGTTGGTGGGGAGACTAGGGCTCACCTGGAGCTTTGAATACTTAAAAAAATTGCTTTGGTTTTTCCGCGAAATGTTTCGAGGTTGTAGCGGTTCTGAGTAAAAAGGTGAATTTGAAATACTCTTTGAATACGTGTACATATATTTTTGTAAATATATTTGATCATTATATAAATTGTGTTCACTGAGTTTTGGCGGGAACTTGGCCGACGACTGACTGTTGCTCCTGTTTTGTCGCTTGAATACTAGTTTAAAGTGGATTTTCATTCGTAAAAGTTATGTGATTTTGTGAATTAAGTGTCTGCGCGTGTGAACTATTAGAGAAAACGACGAAACAAGTGCTTTGATGTTGATATAAACCTCAAGTTAATTTGATCGCTTGGGCGTCTTATGAACTTGAGTGGCTGTCGTTATCAATAGTCCGCTGGGTTGAGCTGTCATCAAAATCTCCCAAAAACTTCACAATGTGACACATCAGTATATTGTGAAGAAAAAAATATATAAAATGAAGAATCTGAAAGAAGTGATAGCCTCAGAAGGGCTATTACCCAGAGCCGTAAAGCCAGTTAATAACAAAATTGTTGTGTTCATAGCTTCATAGATTACTGGAGGGAGGAAAAAACGCGGAAACCTTGAAACGTGATAGGCGCCTTTCTTTTAATTAAAATTTTAATTTTGTTTTGTTTAGTTAAAAGGCACTAAACTTTTATTGTTTTATCGTTACTGGGTTTCCTCATAATGGGGAAACGTAGAAAAAAAGTTGCCAGGAGAAGAAGTCTTTGAAGAAACGACTGAGGAGGAAGAAGTTGACACCGGTACTGAAGAAGATTCTGAGAAAGAGCAGCGCAAGTATAAGCCGTACTTTGTATCTGACTACAACAAGAGGTACCCTGAGTACTCTGTCCTCATTGATTTTGTTGTCTTTGTCGAATCAAATGACAAAAAAAGGCCAATCGGCACGCGGGACATGATGTCTCTGTCCACACATATGAAGAGGTTCAATAACAAAATAGGCGTTCATTTTGAGAAGCCCTCTCTAGCGAATGCATTTTTAAATAATCTTACATCTCATAATGAATACAAAATGAAGGCATCTATCCCAGGTGCAGAGACAGAAATAACAGAAGTCATAACTAATGTTCCCACTAATCTTTCTAATTCAAGAATTTTTGGTATGTTAACGACTTACAGGAAGATAATATGTATTAAAAGGATAATGAGGAAACAAAAGAATGACGCAGGACGCAATTTGATGCAGCCGACGGGCACCGTGGCCATCACGTTCTCTTCTAATATTTTGCCGGACCACGTCGATCTCCATGATTGTCGTTCGTGGTAAACCAATATATTCCACCAGTGAAGCAGTGCTACAACTGTCTGAGGTATGGTCACTTAGCAAAGTATTGTAAAAATTCTGTGAAATGCTCAATTTGTACTTAAAATCACGGCTACAAAGATTGCCAAGTCTCTTTTCAGATAAAGCGATATGCATACATTGCAAAGGAAACCATCTAAGCATTTCTGGACAGTGTCCTGTCAAGAAACAAAAGATAAAAGAAAATCAGACTAAATTACACAAAACCACGTTTGTAGACCTTTTTAATAAAAACGATTACCCCGAATTAAACAAAAAACCCCTAAAGATGCTCGTATGTCACTACTAAAGAATGATATTATTAATATAATTTTAAATACAGTCATTAAAATATTAACTCTTAATAAATCAATTGAACAAACCACCATATCTTCTCAGCTTGTTAAAGATGTTCTCATAGATACAATGAAACCAAAATAGATATTTCATTATTTAGAATTTAATATTTTATGGATCAGTTTAACATTTTACAATGGAATGCACAGAGTTCAATTAAAAATCGCTTTCAATTTACACAATTTTTATATGAGAACACTATAGATGTTGACAAAGGAACCTTAAAAATGCGGTTATTTTTTCATGGGGTGATATGATCTCACGCATGACCGTATTTTGTCGTTGAATGTGAGGCGTAACCAAACTTAACAATTCACTATGAGCATTTTCATTAATAACTTGTGCATGGCACACTCGTACTTGCCTTCAGCGCTGATGAAAACTGTGGTGGTGCCAATTGTGAAGAACAGAACGGGGGATGTGTCTGATAAATCCAATTACAGGCCTATCTCACTAGCCACGGTTGTTGCGAAGGTTCTTGACAGTTTGCTTAGCGTCCACCTTGATAAATATATAACCTTACATGATAATCAGTTTGGTTTCAGGCCAGGTTTGTCAACTGAGTCGGCCATATTATGTCTGAAGCAGACTGTTAGGTACTATTCGGTTAGGCGTACACCTGTATATGCCTGTTTTCTCGACCTTAGTAAGGCTTTTGACCTGGTAAATTATGATATCCTATGGCAGAAATTGAAAAATACTGGACTGCCTGAAGAAGCAACCAGAATCTTCAAATATTGGTACCGTAACCAGGTCAATGTTGTGCGATGGTCCGAATCTTATTCGCAGCCATATAGGTTGGAGTGCGGAGTTAGACAGGGAGGCCTAACCTCCCCTAAGCTCTTCAACCTGTATGTCAATGCCCTCATAGAGGAGCTCAGTAGCACACATGTCGGTTGTCACATTGACGGAGTATGTCTTAGCAACATCAGTTACGCTGACGACATGGTGTTGCTGAGTGCTTCTGTTTGTGGCTTAGCGAAACTGTTGAGCATATGTGAAAACTATGCTCACAGTCACGGCTTAATTTATAATGTGAAAAAAAGCGAATGTATGGTCTTTCGGGCCAAGGGAAAAGCATTACCATCAATTGTACCACCCATTAAATTATATGGTACGCCGTTAAAAAGGGTGTCGCAATTTAAATATCTAGGTCATGTGGTAACCTTTGACTTGAAAGACGATGCTGATATCGAGAGAGAGCGCAGAGCATTGTCGGTTAGGGCGAACATGATAGCTCGCAGGTTTGTTCGTTGTTCCACCCCGGTTAAAATAACGCTATTTAGAGCTTACTGTTCTTCATTTTACACAAGCAGCCTGTGGATCGATTTTACGCAGAATCAGTACAATGCTCTGCGCGTTCAGTACAATAATGCTTTTAGGATGCTGATGGGACTGCCTCGATTCTGCAGTGCGTCGGGTATGTTCGCTGATGCGAATGTTGATTGTTTTCACTCGATCATGCGCAAGCGGTGCACATCCCTGGTACGCAGGGTTAGGGATGGTCCCAGTGGCGTCCTGAGGGCATTTGCTGACAGGCTGGATTGTCAGTACCTGAACCACTGCCGTATGGTGCACGTGCTGACAAATCAGGGCTGTCTTAGATATAAGATATAGATTAAGGTAGTCTTAAGTTTACTAACATTAGACTAGTGTTTTTCTTATATATGTTACTAACAAATATGATCTTTAAGGTCGAAATAAATGATTTTTATTTTTATTTTTTTATTTTATTAATCCGTAAATAATTTCGCCAATCACTTGGATCATCTCCTAAATCCTTGAGCAAATTTATATGTCTATGAATTTTTCTATTCAACAGCCATTTTCTTGATCAATTCGACCGTTCGTGCTTTGACTTTTGCACTACTTTGTTTTATACAATATACAATAATAGCAGAAGAAACAGCTTTTCACTGGGAAACATTGTTTCTACGCCGACGATTTTAACGAGAATGTGGCTTGCGCGTACTTAACTGTGCCGTGTGGTAGCTACGTCCGTGTTCAGTCTTTCCGTACGAGAAGCTTGCGTAAACCAAACTTGCGCGTGTGGTAGGCCCGAAAAGATTTAAGCTCTGTTCTTTTCTCTCATACCGTACTTTTCATATGCTTCTTTTGGCGAGTTTATTGTATATCCTATGTCTACGCTTGTTACATATTTATTTATCTATGGTCTGATCGTAATTTAAAAAAAAACAGTGTGGTCACGGATCAATATAATTATAATAGCGTTAGTATCCTCTTATTACGTACGATGTCTTCTGCGTGGGCTTTCTGCTCAACAGGTCGCGAGCCTCGGGGCATTCCCCATTACCCGGGTAATCATCACGGCCCACTACTATGGGTCTATCCTGGGAGTCGTTCGGGAAACGCATTTTTGGCTATCTTCTTAGCTTGGCGTATTTCGCGCCCCTAGGTAGATGATACCGAAGGGTCAGCAGTCTCAAAGCCTCACGGAGACTCGCAGAGGACGGGTTTCGACGTAGGGCCAATTCCGCCGACAGGTGTGCGCTCCGGAGTAGCAGCACTTCGGGCCTCTGGTGCTCCTTCCTAGTTTGTAGGTTATGGCCTAGTCCTAGGCACTAGTAGCGTATCTCGCGCCTCCGGAAAGGAATCTGCTGAAGGGTCAGCGACTTCAAGGTCCCACGGAGACGGATCTCGACGTAGGTCCGATGTCACCAACAGTGTGCGCTCTCCTGACA